GTTAGACGTTACAAATTACGCCTATATATGTGGACACGTGACTCTACACGTGCAAGAAAACATACAAGCATATACACCAAGCAAACTCATTTTCTCTCATATGACCTGCCCATCAGTCGAGCGAATACTAGATGGAAAGCAGAGTTCCCACCATTAAAAGGTTACATTATCGGCAAAATAACTTCGAACGGCAAAGTCGGAACAGATATGCTAACTTTTTCTTTTTTTTTCGCCAGCGTTGACAGAGAGAGAATAAAAGTTATAGGTTTTTTAAAATGTTTACCTTAGCAAAAAGGAAAGAGAAATTGATAGACAGAAAAATAAATGGTATACTGATTACTCATATGGTGTGCACAGTTCGAAAGCCACACTTTACCCGTCTGAAGGAGTCGTATTCGAACCAGCATTTAATATTCAAGAAGAATGGCAAAGCATAATATATTCGCACCAATAGCAAATAAAATCATGGTAAAAACATTCTCGCAAACTGCATTTCTCTGATGGGCCTCAACAATAGCGGATTACCCTCGACGGTCAACGTCAATCACAGTAATCAGTGCAACCCAAATAATTCCCTATGGCAAGGATACACTAGAGGCTATCATGGCACTGAAGACAAGGCTGATCTTGACAATCACGCGAACCAGCTCAATCCCAATAACTGGCATTACAGCGGTGACTCTCAGAAATAATATTCGTGTCCTGAACTAGAAGCGAATGAACGATAATTATCCGACACCATATATTCATGCATCAAGTCTTAAGATTAAAGCGCACGTGGTTTCTCTTTTATAATTTTTTATTCATGAACTTTTAGTTCTATCTTTTGATGCTAAAATATAACTTAATTCAGATACTCAGAGTAGCATAACTGAGCATAATTGCTAGAGAGACTCAGCGGTAGTAGGTGTGCATGTGTGGGTCAGGATGTTGATCTAGTAGTGTTTCTTATCTTGTTTCACAGTCACCACTCTTTTGTAAAAGAAGGTTATAGGCTTAGCTAAACATATTCGACCTGATTTTCATGTCCAAACGATTTGTCACTCACTACTAGCATTAACAACTTTTTTAACGAAAAGATAAAACTTCGAAAAACTTCCAATCTAAGATGGCCTATATGATATACTACTCATAAAGTGACGAAAGTTATACAGAAAAGACTATCAGGCAAACATTAAGAAGACATCATGAACACAGGACATTGTATCAATATAAACTATATTATAGCTTCTAAATAATCAATTCAGCACTGACTGACTAATTGCTAAGAAGACCCGATCAAAATAGAGGCAATCCTAAAATAAACTTTTCTCCTAAAGAACAGGACCGATGATGAGAGTGTGGGTGTATGAATGTGAGTGATCAACAGAAGTTATATCATTACTGCCACCACCACCACCGCATACCCAAACACCCACAACCTAATAATTCAACAAATAATTGCTCTCTAAACTAGGATTCTTGGTCACTGTGCTGAATAATGAATAGATTTTATAGGAAAAATAAAATGAATACTGCTCTACGTTAGAAAAGTTAGTAATACATTCAAGTATTTCTTGCTGACATTCGCTTCTGAATATGTGCTGGCCTTGTGTTTGGTCGTGCTAGATGCAGAATTGAATTCTGAATCGTATGATGCCATTTACGAGAGAGAAGAAGTCGCAAGACAAAAAGTAGAGATTTGGGTCAAAATATTGGAATCTTGAGCCCATCGCGCCAGTAGTCGATCGTAATTATATTCGCTCCGAGATCTGCACTAGCCTTATAATTGTTTGTACTAGATGCCTAGTTGAATTTACTACGCATGCTTGTAATTATTTAGTACTAAGTAGATACACTAATCTCTCAAAATTTCAAAAAGTTTCCTTGTATTGACTACATGAACGATGACTTTTAAAATTGTTTCAGCACTGCTTGAACGTCTCTTCTATATGTTTATTGCATATCGTCTATCTTGTAATTCAATATAATCAATCAGATTTGTTCAAAATCCATCATTTCGTGATTCTAAATTTCGTTCCATCCACTATTAGCTCTAAACAACAAAGAAAGACCAAAAAAACGATAAATGTTAAGAATAGTCCAATAAACACACTTCATTCATTCCATAATGTATTCAAGTAGTCCATATTTCGGACCAAAAGCCTGAGGGCTTTTATTCATTTCTTTGGTGGATTTCATTTTTTCTTTGATTAAATATGAAAAAATCAGGTGTTTTCCCTAGAAATGAACACATATAAGTTTTTACAAGTCTGTTCTGCTAATAAGTACACATTAATGATAATTATAACTTGAAATCAGTTCGAGCTCTATTTGTCTAAAACTGTTGCTCAGTAGATGCTGTGCGAACAATAATCATTCACTTTTGAAATTTCTAGCAAGAGAAGTATTATGATAAATCGACCACACAATATATTCACCGGTGTTTATATTTATTTCAAGAAAATAAATATATTCTTTTATGGTAAACTGTTTCTACAAAGACACTAAAAACATCCAAATATAAAAACTATCTGATTAAAATAAGTATAAAAAAAATAAAATAACTTGTTATCGATTCAGATCTGAATTCGTTTCACCGATACAAAAAAAAAGAAAAGAATGAATCATCAAGATTTGAATTTAGTTTATACATAATTAAAATCTTTTCTTCTTTTTACTAATGAAATTGTTCTATACTAAATATCAGTTTTACAGCATCCAGAACATGTTCACATATATGTTTTGGTTTTTTAAGTTCAGCATCGATAATCGTATCACGATGTCCATGATTTGGATTCGATGTTTCATCATATGTGTCACGATTATAAACACCTGTACAAACAAGTATTGATTCTAAACTTTCAGCTGCATAATAATGTTCAGCTTCATTAACAACAAGTTCAACAGTATTCGAATTCATCCACAAATTTTTATCAGTAACATTTTTTGCATTGCCTGTTAAAGTAGTAGTTGTCGTCTGTGAAACTATTTGATTTAATCGTGATAATGATCGAGTTTGTAAATAACGATTATAAACATTAGCACCATAGATATCAGTATCTGGATTATCCTTACAAAAAAAAGAAAAGGAACTTCGATTTTAAAAAATCCAATGAAGAACTTACACCAACTGCATACAGACGTTTTATTGGCTGTTTAAGACCAAGTTCACGTGCATGACGAGATATAAGATATTCCGCATGATAAAACGTTACTTCACTTGGCTTACCAACAATAGCAGTATATTGTAATGGATGACCGGAAACTTTCTTTATTCAAATCAACGATATTATCCATATGACAAAAAAAACAACAAATGCTTACTTCATATAAATTTTCCAGACAATGCAAAAATGATCCATGCCCGAATCTATTTTAAATAAAATCATTTTTATATTTGCATGATCAATTGATATTGAAAATCTGTTTAAAATCAGTTAATTGTAAATTTTTCTTCTCTTCTGATAATTTTTATTATTGAAGTTCCATACAAGACTTTTAATATAAAATCCGAGTTTCATAGAAAGATCGTTTATGATCAACGACAGGGTTATTGATTATTGTCTTAACGAAATGATTCTCTTTTATTAATAGCACAAAACATAGATATAGGGTTTATTTTTCATTCTTCATTAACTTAGATCAGATACAATTCGATAATTCAATACGTTGAGAATCTTTTTAAAATAACAAAAACTAGAAATATTTCTCATGAGTTCCGAAAACTACCATGTATCATAACAATTACAACTAGCTAAATGCTAAGATCAATATTCTATCCTGAGAATTACCTTGGTAATGCTGCTTCAGCCATCCATAAAAGATCAGCATTTGAAGCTAGAATAGGTAAATGTGAAACCGGTGGTCGAGTAATTGGTGATGAAGGGTTTCCATTAGTCATTAAAACATCAACTATTAATTGTAAACATGTTTCCCATCTGACTGGTTCACCAAAAAGAACGACAGCTTCAATTGGTAAAAAGTAATCTCGAAAGGGTGAATGCTAAAATTTTCGAAAATCCATAGCAAAAAAATCCTATGAATTCTATTCTCATACAAATCCTCGGCGTTTTTTGTGATCAACCATATCCAAATTTGGAAAAGCATCACATAATTGTTCCATTGTCGTTACTTTTGTAAAACCTAAATTTCTTGCTATCTCAGCTATAGGTCCTTGTCCAGTAATTAAACAATGTTTTTTATGAAATTCAGTAAATAGTTTCAATGGGCTATGTGCTAAAATGACTTGTTCAGGCGAAATCTAAACAGAGAAAAATGCATTCAGAAATGAAAATTTCCTATAGAAAAAAAAAATGTTTACAGGAATTCCGAGAATTTGAGTAAGTTTGGCAGCCTTTGATGAGCGTAATTCATTTCCAGCATTAGTAACAAAAACAGTTGGGATACGAAAGTCTCCATTTATTTTTACTAAACTACGAAATGCATCACGTGTAAATGGTAATAATTTTCTTCCACGTATTAATACACCATCAATGTCAAAAAGAAGTCCAAATTGAGGCTAAAAAAAAATGTCCTATTGAATTTCTTTGCTCGAAATTATTCAATAAAAAGAATACCTCTTTGAATCCATGGTTATTTCGAGAAGATAAGTGTTTCAAATTATGAATCGAATTTATTTGTCGATTGATTAGACGTTTACAACATGAAATATTCATTGTACATTAAAAAATTCGTGAAATTATAAAACATACAAGGCCAATTCGTACTGGTTAAATGTATTGAAATAAAAATATGACCATTTTTGCTTTACGCACCATCGGTACCTTTAAAAGAATGATCAATGTTTTTTTTTTAGTGATCGAATGTTGTTCGGGTGATTGACGCCCATTTACAAATGTCAAAAAGTATGATTGGATCAAATTACTTTAGCAACCAAATATAATATTATCGACAAAGATAATCATTTGATATTGATGCATCTATTACGTAAAATAAAGTGAATAATTAAAGATTGAAATACAGCATATCGTTTTCAATATTTCAATTGACTAATAGCGTCATCTGGATTTTAAAAAATTAAACTTTCGAATTTTATTCATTCCATATGGAGAAAGTGATACACAAAATTTACAATATATATAGACATAGATATCAAAAAAAAGGCTTCAAACTTGTGCATCTCTGATAATAGATTGCGGGCATTTTTTTCCTTCTATCAGATTGATAAATTTGAGCAGCGCATCAAATTTTGTAGCAAACATTCATATTTTTCGCCGCTTCAGTCGCATAATAATTTTTTCTCAATCAAGCACAGTTAAAAAACGCTTTTCATAACGTATTAAGTTTTGTACAAGTAAATGTTCGATCATACGTCGTTAGCGAATTGAAGTAGAGATTCTTCATTACAAGTAAAGAAGAACTGCATGAAAAATTTGAGCCAGATTAAATAGGAATTCTCAAAGAATTTTTCTTGGTTTTCGGTAACTAGAATTACTTGCCTATTAAACATTTGCAACGGTCAAGAAGTTCACAATGCAATATCTTTTTTTGTGAAACATTTCCACCCTGCTATTAAACTTTTTTTCCGATAACGCAGATCAGTATCTCTTCTTTCGAACATTGCTTTTCAATAAACATAAACATTTGCCTCTCTATTTAAGCATACTGTGTATCGTTTTTTAAAACTCCACTACTATACAAAATGTGACACTGATAGAAGAAATAATACCTGTTTTTATGTGATAGTATCCAAACACTAATCTTCGCTAATTTGTAACATTCTAGATGAGCATATTATAGCGACTGTTAAGCCTACCCTAGAATCAACAAATTTCGCCGGTCTATGGTATTGTAGATTTCCTTTTTTAGAACAATAATTGTAAATAGTACTATCTTGTAATACTTTATGGCGGATGCAATCCGACTTAAACGATCTGGAAAGAAATACCTGATTAAAAAACAATATCGTCGACAGCATTTAAATTACTCTCAAACAAATGTTATGTAGATTTCAAATTCATTAGTTTTTCTCGTCGCAGACTTCGCATTAATAAATACTTACGATTGTTTTTTTGATTGAAATAAGTGTGTGATAGAATGGATTATAGTTTTTTTGTGATTTTAATTCAAGTCATAAAATTATTCTTAATATATTAGAACTTATTATTATTATTATTATTATTATATTGACTTATGTCTATCATTGACAAAAACACACAAACACACGCAAACACAAATACATTATACAACAAAACAAATATTTATACAAAAAAAAAATGAATAATATCTCTGATATTTTTTAACTACTTTCCGTTTTTACTATAGCGACCTGATCATTTTCATTTTCTGATTTTTCATTATCATTATTTATTGTCGGTGGTAATGATACATTTTCAGATGTCCTTATTATTGAGTCATCTTTCTGTTGATTTAAAGAAATTGTTTTTGGTATAGAATGAGAATATAAACGTGAATTATCATTTAGTTTTCTTTTTAAATCTGGTCCACATAATTTTTGATGTAAATCCCAATCACGATGTTGACAATATTGTCCACAATAACGTGCCATATTACAGCCAGAACATGTTTCAATTGCTTTACGACCACAATTCCAACAATGCTAAAAAAATCAATTGAAAAGTTTTAGAATCATTTTTTTCATATCAAATCATACTTCTGGTCCATCTTCTTGTCGATTAAGTAATGCATATGCTTCTTCAAATTTATGTGCTTTCAATCGTTGATATTGTTCACGTTCACGAAGTAAAATTTCATTCGATTTTTGTTCAGTTTGTGAAATCGCTTTTTGTAAATCAATGATTGATTGACGTTTTATTTCTAATACAGTTTCTTCTAAAATTTCAATGTAAATACTATATATATATGACAAATATTATCGTTCACCTGCTTTTCGACGAACTTCAGCAATACGATCATCCGTTTGTGATAATAATTCTACATGTCTTCGTCTCCATTCAAGATCATTTGTTTCAATAAGACGACGAAGATGAATATCTTTTTGTTGTAACATAAATAAAACTCTTTTACTTTTTGTTACCATTTCAAGTATATAATTAAGCATCTAAATATAATAAAAAAAATGTAAATCTTTAAAAATAAAAATACATCTTTTACAAACATTTTCTGCATGCTTCCACTCATCTTCTACATCTTTTAAATCACTTGTATATTCGCGTAGATCTTTAATAAAATAAATAAATTTTTAAAACAACATTCATAAGAATATCGAGTATACGAGACATTTGAAAGAAACAAAATTTTAACACAACTTGGTCAATACTAATTTTTGACTATTATCATATGCTAATGAGAAAAAAACAGCAAAAGCATCCTGTAAAAGTTAGGATTGTTTTCGTCTCAATAAATCATTCAAATATTTTAAAAATTATATCATAAGATAGAGACTTCAAAACTGAACAAAATGAGTTATTTCAATACAATACAATGTTGATCAACTGAAGTTCCATATGGCCAGGATGGATGCATCCAAACTATTTTTTATACATGTTACGCAAATTGTTATTCTCTATAAATCGATCAATTAATACTCAAAAATCAGTGCAAAAAAACAACATTGAATCACACAAATGAAAAATTCATCTTAGCCCCTCACAATTGTATTGTATCAAAATTTTGTCTCGTGATATTCCGAAGGTGAGTTTTTCGCGAGAAAAAACTTTCTAAAATGTGTTCGACTCAACGTAGTTTTTGATGCTAGTTCTAAATGTCGTATTTATATGTCATGGTAATAAAAATCGTTAAAAATGTTCTTTTTTCCTATTGAAAAATCAAAAAAAAACCATAGTGTGAGAGGGAGATTATAGTCACTTTTCGCCTCGGAACTATTATTTATTCTTGAATATGTTTTATACCATTTTGTAGAAAATGAAATTTAGCTTGGATCTGTCTGATTCTGAAGTCCAACAAATAATAAATTCTTATCAAACGGATATTTGAGGCCTATCGCGAGAGTCATTTTATCATTCATATTAGTCTTATAAGACTCGAGTCGGTCAACAATTGCATGGGATTGAAATAACTCATTTTATTCAGTTTTCAACTATCTCTCTCTTTTAATACAATTTATAAAAAATTTGAATAATTCTTTGCAACGAAAACAAACACAACTTTTATTGAGTATTTCTTTTTGCGATTTTTTTTCTTATAAGAATATGTTAATGGTAAAAGGTCAGTATTGACTAACTTTTGCAAACAAGGCTATGGGAAGCAGAAAATTTGAATTTATTAGTTTCAGATATTGATATATTGAATGTACCAAAAGAAAATTCTTGTTTATCAAGTGCTTCATTAACTCAATGATCTCATAATTATTCTCTTGAAAAGTTAGAATTTTATATTTACAAGAACTAAATGCACGTTCTTTATCAGAACGTGTTGATGTTCCTATCGAATTTAAATGTGTACGATGATTAATTGATGAACGTTTTGTTGCATATGAACGTTCATCATGTTCATTTGAACTAGAAAACAAATACAATAAAATAAAATAAAATCAATTTTAACAAAAAAAATATTGTTTACTCGTTAGATAATTTTCTTTTTCCATTTTCATTTAATTGTTCTTTCGATGGACTTAGATCATTTTCAAGTACATCACGTGATACAAATATTAATTCTTCATGTTGAGCAATAAATTGACTTGTTGATTGTTTCGATTGACGAGCTAATTGTAAAAGTTCTTTTTGTAAAAGAGGTAATGTTGACTGAATGAAAATAAAATATTAGTAAAATATAATAGTTTTTTTTTAAATAACTACTTTTAAAAATGGTAATGCAAATGGTCTTAATGGAAAATTTGTTGCTGCTTGTAGTTTTCCATGAAATTCTTCAACAGATAAAGCATTATTCTAAAACGTTTGATATTTTATAATTTATATGAAAATAAAATTCAAATAGTCTTATTCTCATTAAGTAGAAAACTTACAACAAGAGCTAATATCAATGCACGAACACGTTCACCTATTTCATTCGATATATCCGAACCAAAATAATATAATGTACTAAGAAAACATCGTAATTTATCTAATTGCTTCGATGGTACTTGTATCGGAGAAATTGCTCGAGTAGTTGTTGATGTTTGGGTCTGAAGAGAAGAAGATAAGGGAGGTGATTGTATATGATTTGTTGTTGTTATTAATGATGATGATGATGATGACGATGATCCATTATCATTATTATCGTTTACTGTATTCATCGATGTTAATGAAATCGAATTTTCATTTGTATCAGTCGGCATAGATGATCTGCAAGAAAACAAAAAAAAAATTAATTTTCGAATAACCGTCAAAATTTCTCCATCTTTCTTTCCATACTTCATCATTGACAGCTGTCACTGTCAACAAGCTGTTTCCACTTACAAATTATAAGTCCAAAAAAAGAAAAAAGAAAAGAATATCCCATTTATACATAAGAAAAAGATCTCTAGTTTATTTTATATCTTAACAAAAAATATACAGCTGAGAATTTATTATAGAATATTTCATGATCAATTTATATAAAATAAGACAACAAACAGATAAACATATATATAAATTGTGCAGATTTTATATTTTAGGTATAACAATAGATGCTTACCTGATTCTTCTCATATATAGTGCCAAGTGAATAGACCGGAAAAAAAACGAGAATGAGAGAGAAATATTTCCAGATGGTTAGTAATTCTCTGAACATTAAAAAACATCAACAAGTAATCGAATGAAATATCTTGCTTATTTTCTCTCTGAGAATAATCACCATCTGTTACTTATAATCCGAATGATACAACAAGTAGCAAACTGTGTATGATGTTGCAGCTGACTTTTTTTCTCAAACTTTATAGGTATAACAAAATAATATTGGGCATAGAAGAAGAAGAAGAAAAAAGAAAGAAAGAAAGCAACTGTGCAGATGTAGAAATATATGGTAGCCAGAGAATTCTCGATTGTCAGGGGAATAATGATATACAGATGGCAGACATTTTGCTGATCTACCAGATGGTTCAGATTATTTTCTTATGGAAACGAACATAGAAAAAAAGATGGTAGCTATTTGGCCAAATGTTCATCATAAAAAACGTTCAAGGTCATATTAAAGAAATATTCATTCACACATCATATATCATTGAGTTACATGGTATAATAAGGAAAACAATCGATTTTTTTTCCGTCTGTTCACAAGTTGTTCTTATGTGTTGATTCGAACGTCAAAGAGAAGCAAAGAGCAATTGCCCTTTTCTCGTCAGAGCAAGAAAGAAGAAAAAAAGAACAGCTGTATGAAGCAAGGCAAAAAAAACTTGACGAAGACAACAAAATATCCACAGACAATAATGACGGAAAAAAAGATATAATATTTCTTCCTTTTTTTTCTATTCTTCTTTCATCTATACACATAAACATAAAACTGTTATTTATTTTTTGTTTTGTTTCTTACAGATTGTTTTTGTTCAATAAAGAAAGAAGAAAGACACAAACTGAGTACACACAAATAAAGAGAATAAAACGACTTGGATGGACTAGAAAGCACGAATAGGTATTGGTTTATTTGTTTTAAATGACACTTGTAATACACGATTACCAAGTGTAAAACCATTAAGTGAATTAATAGCCATTAACGCTTCATCGTAATTAGTCATTGTTACAAAACCGAAACCTTTACATTTTTGTGTTTGAAAATCACGAATTATTTTAACATTTTGTACAGCACCAAATGGTCCAAATAATTGCCATAAAATACTTTCTTCAGTTTCAGGTGCTAAATTATAAACAAATATACACCAACCAACGGATGCTATATCTTAGAACAAAAAAAAGACCAAGTATTATTTAGATCATTTTCTAAATCAATCTATTTACCAGTTGATGGTGATAACGTTGTAGCCGATGCTGCTGCAGCAGCAGCAGCCGGTAAATAAGAAGCTGTAGCAGCGGCAGCAAAGAAATCAGCAGGTGATAATGGTGAATATCTATAGTAGAAAATAAAGCATAAGACTTCATTTATCAAAACATTCAAATGTAATATTATATTAAAAAGAAAAAAGCTTATGGATAAAACAAAATATAACTTCACTCACCGATATTTTGATCGTTCGTGCGTTTCTCTATGCATAAAAACTTATATTTTGCAAAAAAACAATACGAGCATGAAATCATATATAAATATATATTTCACAGGAATTATAAAGCAGCATACCTGTACCTGTTTAATTGTTGACGAATAGATGGTACAGTTGTAAGTACAGGTTGTTGTGGTGTTGGAATACCGGATAAATAAGATGGTGCTAATGGTAAACCAATCATAGATTTAGCAGCATTTGGTGTATTAGCAAATTTCACATTTATTGGATCAGTAAAACCTACATTAAAAAAGTAAAATTGAATTTCATCATGTCGTTCTAAGAATCTATTAACTAATTTGATCTGATGAGTTCACATAATAAACATGAAAATTAGAATTTATATTTTTGTTTGTTATCAGATTAATCTAAAAATATTAGCCAAAACCAAAACTTTTCATTGAAGCTGAAAGTTCTAAAAATGTCTGCCGAAGAAAATTCATTTTTAAGTTGGCACTATATTTAATCGATAGCACACCTAAGAAGTAGGTAATAATCTAGAATGGTTTGAGGTGTTGTACCTTTTTTTTTACTGAGATAGAGAAGTTTTAGTAGATTTTTCCTGTAAGAATCCAGTTTTCAAGCAAAACATATCTTCAAATTTTGACCTGAAACTTTGCCCACATAATATGCTATGATTATTGTAAAAAATATGTACATTTTCAGAGGTTCATATCTCGAAGAGATTTTGTCAAAGAATTGTGAAATATTTTCTACAGCCTATTTTAATCGTAATCCTGATATGTGCTAAGTTTCAAATCAAAGTTCAAAAGCATGATTTTACTTGAAAACTGGAGTCCTTGAGGAAAAATCTACTGAAAATTCGATATCTCAGTAGCTAATTTCTCTAAACACCGAAGTATTCTTTTCAATTTATTGCAACCATATCAAGAGTTATTCTCGCTAATAGACGGAATGATAACTCCTGAGTGAATGAGTCACATCTTACTTTCGGAAATCTTTCCAGTTTAGCTAATTATATGCTTACTTTCGTTTGATAACTTCTACCTTTCTGGATGATAAAATCAAAATTTTTTCGATTTTCGGTTAGATTTTCAAGTAAGACGACTAAACAGGCTTGAATTTCGATCAGTTTAGTTAAAGAGAAACGGTCCTGATACACACAGGAAAATTTTCTATGGGTTTTTCTCACAATACATCTTTCAAGCAGAGCTGGGCATTATCTTGGCTACGAGTACATTTAGGATCCATAAAGTGATCGCGCAATTTTCGAATTACGATATAATTCGAAAATTACGTGGACACATTAGGGGTTTTTAATTGTACTAGTAACCATGGCAATGCCCAGCTCTACTTTCAAGAAAAAAGACGAAGCTCCTCCTTTTTCTCATACACGATACGTTTCATCGGACTGAGTTTTTTTCTATATTACTTTTACGAAATTCGGCAGTATTTAAACAATTAATGCCATTGAAAATAACATGCGTTTTCCTTCTCTTGAGCTCTAAGAACAATATTTTGAAAAATAATATGCAGCTCGAAATATGAAGTATAGAGTTTTCCAAGAGGAAAAATGTCTGGCTATTTTAGACTATTGCGACTTTCATATCTTTGTGAAAGCAGGGTCTCGAAATTTTGAATGTATGATAGGATGATTCCCTTAAGCATTAAATTCAATAACTGAAGAATATTCTATATGTAACGTGAACTGTAATCGATAGTATAAAAACAGTTGCAAACATAAAATTATTCTCAAATTTAGACTCTGATGTGTAAAAACTTTTCATTTGATAACATCTCATGCTTTATGATTGTTCCTTAATTAAGCAAAAACAAAGTTATTGTTTAAAAATCTCTTACCTTTTGGAGTAGTGCCATTAAGTTTATTGATAGCCACTTCAGCTTCTGCTCGTTGATCAAAACGAATAAATCCTACACTTTTCGATGCACCTTAAAAAAAAATACAAAAATGAATTTTGTTTTCGATAAATTGTTTTTTGTTTTCGTAAATTTAAATCAAGCAAAATTAAGATAAACATGCAGTTAGATCTCCAATATCTTCTCTACCTGCTTTCGGATTGCAAAGAATTTTCGACGAAATAATACAACCAAAATCAGCAAACATACTCTCAAGTTCCTGCTGAGTCATCGAACGTGGGAGATTTGAAATATAAAGATTGGAAAATTTGATTGACTCCGAAGAGGGACGAGCAAAAGAAACCTGAAACAAAATTAAATAAAATAAAATAAAAAAACCAAAACAACAACAAAAAAAAAAAGAATTAAATTATATTCAATAAGCAGCAGAGAGATGGGGCTTTTTTTTCGCTTGAAATATCTTTCTTAATAAACCTGTATTAGAATCAGTTAATATTCGACTTGTTATTATTTTTCCACATGATGTAAAATAATTTTCAAGTTCTTTTGTTGTCCACTGTTTTGGTATACCACATATATATAAATTAGCAAATTTAATTGTTTCCGATGATGGACGTGCAAAAGATACCTGTATCTTCTGAATTTTTATTTAAAAAAAACATTAAAAATTTACTTTAATTGTTTTATTTTGTAATCGAAGACCATTCATTGTTTTAACAGCTTTATCAGCATCTTCTGTACGAATAAAATTAACAAAACCATAACCAAGACTTTGACCTGTTGTTTTATCTCGTACAAGTTTACATGATTCAATAGCACCAATTGTACCAAATAAATCTTTGATTTCATCTTGTGTCATTGTTTGTGGTAAATAATTAATTATTAAATTCGTACGAATTTTATCTGATATATTTGACTCATCATCTGTTAAACTACTACCACCAATTGATCGTGTTTCACTTGTATTTCCATTTTGTCGATTAAATGCAGCCATTTCACTATAAAAATATTCGTCTTCGTTTTGTTGATTATCAATTAATTCTTGAGATTTATTAGAGGTTGGAGTTAAAACCTATGAATGAACAAATATTTATTTGAAATAAATAACATAAAAATTGGTGTAATATTTTTCTATAGAAATATTCTTCTTTATACCTTGTAAACATGCCAAGATCCGATCATCATTTTGTCTGTATAAGAATAGAGAAAAAGAATCGAAGACCGGAACCGGCTGATGCCATGCCGAGCTGACGCTTTTGTCTATTTTTTTTTGTTTGATTATTCATCGAGTCTCATTATATATAGAT